TGCTGGCACTGTGAATAATTTCTGATTTTCACCAGTCTCGGGGAAGAGCCAATTCCCAGCATGACAACTAAGAGAATGAATACCAAAACATTTTCAGATGGGCAGACTCTTATGAAGGAGCTAAAGATGTGCAACCAGGAATAATCATTACAGCAAAATCCCTCACATAATTACAAACTGCTGGAAGCTATTGGAAGCCATTGTAATGTGAAAACATAAACTTGCTGATTGCTAATTATATGGAGACAATGTCAAAGTCAAATAACATACAACATAATACTGACAGTACAAAAGACACTCTGAATACCTCAGAATGTAATATCTCCAATTAAGGAAGAAAAAATATACTACAGTGAAAATATTTTGGCATAAGCAATGCAGAACTGGCAAATTAATGTCACAGACTATTTCTATTTCTGCTAGTCATAAAATATTTGTGTCAAATATTTTTTTTTTAATTTTTTTTTAGCTCGCAGTTCATTTCAGGACTTACAGAATCATAGAATCATAGAATCATTAAGGTTGGAAAAGACCTCTAAGATTATCGAGTCCAACCGTCAACCCAACACCATCATGCCCACTAAACCATGTCCCTAAGCACCTCATCTATACATCTTTTAAATACTTCCAGGGATGGTGACTCAACCACTTCCCTGGGCAGCCTGTTCCAATGTTTAACTACTCTTTCAGTAAAGAAATTTTTCCTCATGTCCAATCTAAACCTCCCCCGGCGCAACTTGAGGCCATTTCCTCTCATCCTATTGCTAGTTACTTGGGAGAAGAGACCGACACCCACCTCACTACAACCTCCTTTCAGGTAGTTGTAGAGAGCGATGAGGTCTCCCCCTCAGCCTCCTTTTCTCCAGGCTAAACAACCCCAGCTCCCTCAGCCGCTCCTCATAAGACTTGTTCTTGAGACCCCTCACCAGCCTCGTTGCCCTTCTCTGGACACGCTCCAACACCTCGACGTCCTTCTTGTAGTGAGGGGCCCAAAACTGAACACAGTAGTCTACTTACATGTCTACTTAGCTTTACTATGTAATCATCCTAGATGCGATCCCATCCATTCATATAGGAAGTGTCTTATTGCTTGGAGCATGTCTTTTTACTATCCACTTCTACTGTTCCTTCCCAACAGAAGGGTTTATAATAGAGTATAAATCTCATTTGACCAGAGAATTTTGCCATGAAGGTTTTTCTTTTCCTTTTTTCTGTAGAGAAGGGTTTTTTAGTAGATAAATTAAAAAATCAAGTGTAATAAGCATTCAGGATCAGTAATAAAATATATTAATCACAGATAAACTTACTTGACCTGTATAGCCATATGTGACCTATGAGTAATGTTTGAGACAGCCTATACAGGCGTCATTTACACTGTGGGTCCCAGGAAGACTTCCCCACCCCCAGTTCCTGTATGTGCTCAGATATTTACTTAGTACACATGAGGACAAGGTATGGGTATGCAACATCTTCCCCTCATTTCCTCTGGAGGAAACAGGTCCACAAGGACAAGAGGGGTGACGCAGTGTGCAATAACAAGCTCCCCTTCTCTGGACAGCTGAGGAACAAGACTGTCGGATTCACCATTGAGTGCATTTTTCTTGCCATCAGGGTTCCCCGTTCAAGAACTTCCTTCATTATTCAGCTAATGTAATAAATGTAGGTATCACTGTCGAACATATTTCACAACATATGATGAAAATCTCTCAACCACAAAAATGGAGCAAGTAGTCAAATTTGTGAAAATTAATGTGGACATTTTTAATAATGTAATACAATTCCTTGATAAACGAAGCAGAAAAGCTTAACTATAAAAGACGTTGTTCCTTCATCTGGGTCCACAATACGATGAGGGAGGCCCAAAGGTATTGAGAAAGGGGACACAGGCAAGCCTTAGGAACTGATTACTTTTATGTGAGAGGGTATGTAATGGGAAGATATTATGAAGACGGGGAAACAAACACGGATCTGGCACACTCCGGGGAAAAAAAGGAAAATATTTTACTCAGGAATAGTCCACGAGTCATACTTTTTCACTAGTCAAGCAAGTCACTAACCTGTACCTACCCAAGCAAATTGAGGTGAAAAATTTTGTAGGGAGACCCCTGTTAAAAACTTGGCAAAAACATAACTTTGAAACCATCTGCTCTGACTGCATGCAGTATTATTCCAGACATTTGTATCTTGAAACAAACACCCTGAAACCTTGTGAATGCATTTTTCCTAATGGAAGAGAAGACTCTGTTATCCTTCTTTAAGGCTATTTTCAAGATGCTTACGGTATGAGTAAATTTTCTTCTCTTTCACAACAGTCAGAGGCAGCTTCAGTGCTGGTATCTGGTAGGCAAATATGTCTCTGCTAAGGACACTGGCATTTCATTAACATACACCAGCTTTGAAATTGGCTCAGGTTAACATTTCTGACAAGATCCAGACATATATAGAAAGATGCATGCTGACTCTTGTTTCATTCCAAACTAAATAGCATTGTCTACCGGTAGTAATCCCAGTGATTTCAGAAACTGTTTGAGAAGTTACCTATTATTCATCCCCAAAGGAATTTGGCTCCTGTCGTTATAAGTATTATCAAATTAATGTAAAATCCCAAACTAGGTGCATTTGATTAGAATTCAAATCTGAAATTATTTGGTGTAAATTAACAATTTTATTATTTAATAAGATAAAGAAGTTTCTGCATAGCTTTATTAAGCTAATGATTTCATCCAATGTATGTATATATGCATGTGTGTAACTGTATTGGGTTTGCAGGGCAAGGTTTTGGTAGCAGGGAGGCTACAGGGGTGGCTTCTGTGAGAAGCTGCCAGAAGCTTCCCCTATGTCTGATAGAACCAATGCCAGATGGCTCCAAGACAGACCCACTGCTGGCCAAGGCTGAGCCCATCACAGAGCGCCTCTGTGATAACATATTTAAGAAGGGGGAAAAAACTGCTGCACAACAGCAGCCAAAGAGAGGAGTGAGAAAATGTAAGAGAAAATGTGAGGGAAGTGGTTGAGTCACCATCCCTGGAGGTATTTAAAAGACGTGTAGATGAGGCGCTTAGGGACATGGTTTAGTGGGCATGGTGGTGTTGGGTTGACAGTTGGACTCGATGATCTTGGAGGTCTCTTCCAACCTTAATGTTTCTATGATTCTATGATTCTAAACAACTCTGCAGACACCAAGGTCAGTGAAGAAGGAGGGGGAGGAGGTGCTCCAGGCACTGGAGCAGAGATTCCCCTGCAGCCCATGGTGAAGACCATGGTGAGGCAGGCTGTCCCCCTGCAGCCCATGGAGGTTAACGGTGGAGCAGATATCCACCT